AAAATAAAATAGGTTTGGTTTTCCTCACTTTGCGTTTCTAGCTTTCTGTTATCAAGACAAGAGGTTATAGAAATTGAAATGATTCACTCTTTGTTCAGCCAGAATCATTGGTGTCATTAAATTGAAGCAATAAATATTGAATATGTAGAAAAAAATTAAAGGTTGCAGAAAATAGCACAGCAAAAGTATTAAGTATCAGGAAGTTAGAGCTATTTAAGGTTATTACATAGACTTGGAATTTTGATTAAGTTCAGACAGTATTCCTGTAAATCAACTCTAATGCCCCTTGCTTTTCAGCCTTCTGTTTAATGCTTTTATTTATGTCCTTGAAAAAGAGTTTATCAGAGGCAGTGAGAGCAATTTTCTGTTAATTTTTTTCAGGCCGTATGGTGGTATTCCTCGGTGGGAAGGCTTCTGGATTCAAGAATGTGCATGACCATGACACATATGATGCCGATGGAACCCGCCTGTTTAGGGTATTTTATTCTTTATTTTTCTGTAAATACTCAATGGGATGCCTTTCCACTTGACTCAAATGATATTGAGAAATTCTTGTAGGGTGAAAAATAGATATTGAGGAGCAACTTATACAAGTGAAGAAGTATGGATAAAAGTAAAAGATTGAAACAGAAACTTTGTTGAAAGGTAAATATATTATATGTTGTTAACTTCATTGCTTAGGTGAGGGGAACCTGTGACTTCGATACAAGAGCTATTCAGATGCCTGAAGAGGCTTCATCTCTTAATGGCGATGATGTCTTTGTCCTGGAGACACCAGGTGCTACTTACCTTTGGATTGGTCAGGTAAGAATTGTTTTGAAAAGCAGTTAGTAATGATGACTGGTCCACATTATAGAACCAGTTTTAGTTTATGCTCTCAGGGCATTGCTAGCAGCCAGGACGAGAAGGCTTCCTCAGCAATCCATGCTGTCCGACTTGACAATGAACTTAATGGAAAGGCTGTCCAAGTGCGTGTTGTTCAAGGCTATGAACCTGCTCACTTTCCTTAGGATGTTCAAGGGTAAGTTACAGTTATAAAATACTTTTTATTAACATCAGCTTTCAACTTGTTGAAGCAGTTGAGCACAATTGATGCTGTTTCATGTGTACAGCAGCAGAAAATTCAAACACTCTTAACTTTTCAGTGATATTTTCATGTCTCCTAGCTTTCTGGGTGCAGTTTTAAGTATTTTGGTCAATATCTGATCTCATTTTACAGGGGGATCATTTGTGCCTGATTTTTAAGGACTTTTCAACTTTGGTTTATTTTAAGAAATGTTAGATTCAGAATTAGCTTCTAAATTATATATATATATTTTTTTATATAAAAAAGGACACCTAAAAAAAAAAAAAAAAAAAAAAAAAAGAATTCAGGCACCAAAGATATTTCAATTTCCTACAAAATGGGCTCAAGTATAGCCCCAAAAGGCCAAAACTACTTCTGAAATGCTCATCCATGCAAGGCATTCAATTTCCAATATTTTCCTGTCAGTTACAGTAAAAAAATAAAATAGGTTTGGTTTTCCTCACTTTGCGTTTCTAGCTTTCTGTTATCAAGACAAGAGGTTATAGAAATTGAAATGATTCACTCTTTGTTCACCAGAATCATTGGTGTCATTAAATTGAAGCAATAAATATTGAATATGTAGAAAAAAATTAAAGGTTGCAGAAAATAGCACGCAAAAGTATTAAGTATCAGGAAGTTAGAGCTATTTAAGGTTATTACATAGACTTGGAATTTTGATTAAGTTCAGACAGTATTCCTGTAAATCAACTCTAATGCCCCTTGCTTTTCAGCCTTCTGTTTAATGCTTTTATTTATGTCCTTGAAAAAGAGTTTATCAGAGGCAGTGAGAGCAATTTTCTGTTAATTTTTTTCAGGCCGTATGGTGGTATTCCTCGGTGGGAAGGCTTCTGGATTCAAGAATGTGCATGACCATGACACATATGATGCCGATGGAACCCGCCTGTTTAGGGTATTTTATTCTTTATTTTTCTGTAAATACTCAATGGGATGCCTTTCCACTTGACTCAAATGATATTGAGAAATTCTTGTAGGGTGAAAAATAGATATTGAGGAGCAACTTATACAAGTGAAGAAGTATGGATAAAAGTAAAAGATTGAAACAGAAACTTTGTTGAAAGGTAAATATATTATATGTTGTTAACTTCATTGCTTAGGTGAGGGGAACCTGTGACTTCGATACAAGAGCTATTCAGATGCCTGAAGAGGCTTCATCTCTTAATGGCGATGATGTCTTTGTCCTGGAGACACCAGGTGCTACTTACCTTTGGATTGGTCAGGTAAGAATTGTTTTTGAAAAGCAGTTAGTAATGATGACTGGTCCACATTATAGAACCAGTTTTGCCTGGTGGGAGCAAATCATAATTTACATCCAAATACTCTGATTGATGAAAAACATATCTTATATACCCCCCAAAAAAAAATTGATGCAAAGAATCATATAAACTGCTTTTTATATATTGTTCTAATTTCTCATAGGGAGCCAGTGAAGAAGAGAAGGCCATGGGTGCTCGTGTGACAGAGTTGGTGTCTCCTGGACGTGATGTACAGGTAAGTAGCAAGTATATTAGTCTCGTGCTTTATGAATTTATACTATGTGCACAATAATGTGCATAATAGTGAAATACTATAGAAACAAAAATATTATACAGAATGATGTTTTATCAGGAAATGGCTGAAGGCAGTGAAGATGATGGCTTCTGGAGTGCTCTTGGAGGCCAGGCAGACTACCAGAAGGCTCGTGACCTTGACAAGCCACTCCTGTACCCTCGCCTCTTCCACTGCACCATTTCTCCTGCTGGCTGCTTGAGGGTCAATGAGGTTTCCAACTTTGGCCAGGAGGTAGTGTACTTGGGACGATAATTTTTTTTGTATTGTGATCATCATGGTTATTAATTCCATCATCATTCATGAATGTCATTACTATCATTATGATCATTTTATTCTATGTATTTTCATTAGCCACATTAAAATATTTTTCTGTTGTTAATAGAATACTATGGTAGTAGCAGTTGAATTTTCAAAATGTTCTTTTCAGGATCTCAATGAAGATGATGTCATGGTCCTTGATTCTGGTGATGAAGTGTACGTGTGGATCGGAAGGGGCTCGGATGACCAGGAGAAAGAAAAGGCATTTGAGATGGCGGAGGTAAATTGAATTCATGTAGGCCTCTTTTACACTTTGGGAATGGCTTGTGTAATGTTTCCTTGAATGAAAGGTTAAGTATTTTATCATGAAAGGCTAGTTGCACAGAAAGAGCAAGAATAGATGCCTTATGTAAAAAAAAAAAGAAAAAAGAGAGAAAAAAAAAAATGTAAAAGTTTGGATTCTTGTATGAAAAAATAGGTCTTTGGAAAAATTGTCTAATTATGAGAGGTAAAAAACAGGGAAAACATAAAATTGAAAGTTGGAAACATCAGATTTAGAATAACTGACATATCTTCAATGTAAAGACTAAATAAGAATATGTGCAACCAATCTTGTTTTGTTTTTTTCTATCAGGACTAGCATTTTAAATATTATTTTATTATTATCATATTTCTGTATTTGTTTATTATAATTATTTACTTTTTTGTTTTGTTTTGTTGATTGTTGATTGTTTCTGTGGTCACAGAGATCTCACAATCCTCCTTTCACCTCTCTCCATTTTATTTAATTGTCTTTCTACATCTTTCTCTCAGACATACATCAAGACAGACCCGACAGAGAGAACCTTGGCTTCGACAGTGCTCCTCCGCGTGAACCAGGGAGAAGAACCAGCTGCCTTCACCAGCATTTTCCCAGCATGGAACTCGGACATGTGGGAGGTTAGATCACGCGTCATCAGGGATTTGCTTTTGGGGTTTTTGTTCTTTGGGATGGAAGGGGGGGGGGGGGGCAGGCAGGGAGGAAAGGGGGGGGGTGATTTCTTATATTGGTAGGGTATCTTTGTAAATATTTTTCCTTCCATAATTTTGACTTTTTTTTTCTGTTATTTGTATATGTTTATTGCGTTCTTGCTTTTGCTATTGTTATTATTAATATTATTATAATTATTATTATTACTATTATTATGATAATGATTACTTTTATCATTATTTTTATTAGTAGTATCTTTATTATTATCATTGTCATCGTTGTCATTACCATCATCATCATCACCATCATTATCATTATTATCATTATTATTATCATCATAATCATCATTATCATTATTGTTATTGTTTTCGTTATCATCATCATTATTATTATCATCATCATTATTATTATCATTATTATTATTATTATTATTATTATTATTATTATTATTATTATATCACTATTATCATATTATGATTATGATAATGATTATGTTTGTATTTTTATTTTTACTTTATTTATTATCAACATTATCATTATCAATGCATCATCAAGTTGCTATGATGATGCATTGATACATTTTTATGAACATTGCCATCACATTTATGTCATCCATTCAGATAGTGAATTTGGAGATTAACAGTAGCACATAAACTCATATAAAGATACACATTTGCAGACCAACATGAGTACAAATGCATAACCACAGCTTTACTTCCACATGTACATCCCCTCTGTTAAACACTTTCTTCCCCCTGCCTGTACATGCCTCTCCTTATAAACTCGCATACATACACATGTATACGTACACATATGCTTTCCTCTTCATACAAACTTGCACATTTTTACCTCTACACAGAAACATACATGCACATACACACACACACACGCACATGCACACACATACACACATAGCCACACACATAGCCACACACATAGCCACACACACCTAGCCACACACACCTAACCACACACACCTAGCCACACACACCTAGCCACACACACACCTAGCCACACACACCTAACCACACACACCTAACCACACACACCTAACCACACACACCTAGCCACACACACATAGCCACACACACATAGCCACACACACATAGCCACACACACCTAGCCACACACACATAGCCACACACACATAGCCACACACACATAGCCACACACACATAGCCACACACACATAGCCACACACACACATAGCCACACACATAGCTGCACACACCTACCCACACACACCTACCCACACACACCTACCCACACACACTTACCCACACACACATAGCCACACACATAGCCACACACACATACCCACTCATACATACCCACACACACATACCCACACACACATACCCACACACACATACCTACACACACATACCCACACACACATACCCACACACTCATACCCACACACTCATACCCACACACTCATACACACACACTCACACACACACACTCACACACACACACTCACACACTCACCTTCCCTCCCTCCCTCCCTCCCTCCCTCCCTCCCTCCCTCCCTCCCTCCCTCCTTCCTTTCCTCCTTTCCTCCCTCCCTCCCTCCCTCCCTCCCTCCCTCCCTACCCCCCCTCCTTCCCTCCTTCCTTCCTTCCCTCCCTCCTTCCTTCCTTCCCTCTTCTCCCTCCCTCCCTCCCTCCCTCCCTCCCTCCCTCCCTCTCTTCCTCCCTCTCTTCCTCCCTCCCTCCCTCTCTTCCTCCCTCCCTCCCTCTCTTCCTCTCTCCCTCCCTCCCTCCCTCTCTCCCTCTCTCCCTCTCTCCCTCTCTCCCTCTCTCCCTCCCTCTCTCTCTCTCTCTCTCTCTCTCTCTCTCTCTCTCTCTCTCTCTCTCTCTCTCTCTCTCTCTCTCTCTCTCTCTCTCTCTCTCTCTCCCCCTCCCTCCCTCCCTCCCTCCCTCCCTCCCTCCCTTCCTCCCTCCTTTTTTCTCCCCCCCCCCCCACACATGCCCAAACCCACATACCCATACACCCACACATATTCATTTAAAAGACAATTATAAACTATAAGTAATACTAATGATAATGCTCTACACTACATTAAAGATTAACCCTTAGTTTCTATTACTACTGTAAGTGAATTCTCATATTATAGATAATATATCTTTTACTTTTTAAATCTTTATTATATCTATTATCTTTATATATCATGTGTTCTCATATTATTTTTTAAGCTTTCATAAGCATGACGTGATAATATATGTTTTGAGTGACTTTTATCACAGCTTTCCCTTTTTGAAACTTTGTATCCAAACTATAACTATTAAGCTTATAATAGTTTTTTGTAAGCTTTCAGCTTCATCTTGTCAGATTGGCTCTAGACCAGCCAATATTTTAATGCATGAAGCTCAAATTACTCCTTTTATAAATTCACAAATTACTATTGGTAATTTAATATCACCATTTATTCCTATAAACTTTTCCAACTTTTTAACAAGTTTCCTGTATTTGGAAACATTCCTTTGCCAAGCACAAAACATCTTTGATGAATTCAACATCTATGCTTATTTCCGTTGCAGAAGGTGGATTAGACGGTTTGCCGTACTGTGATGTGCGTTGTGTTTTGATAGGTGGTATTGCTTGTAGCTTACTCATTAATGCTGCCGTGCTCATAGTGCATGTTGCCTCCATGATTAGCTGCAGTCTTGCCATGCAAAGGTAGATTGTTGTTGTAGGAGAATGGTTATTAGTCTCCCCCTGAGGATGAGATCATCTGATTCAACCGTTTACATTTAAAAAATCATAGAGTTTTTAAAGAAACTAACTTGGTGGTTATTGCAGCACCTCAACAGAGCTGAGAAGGAGTTTCATAAGAGGTCACAAAAAACGTCTCAAAAGTCTTCTAGCTGGTGCTGTTGCCAATGAGTAAGAAGTAAGCCAGGTCAGCGCAGGAACCTCAGGCTTCACTAACCCCCTCACGATGCTCACAGTGGCAGTATCAGCCATGTTGCTAGCCTCCCTCCCAGTGTCAATGAGTGTCATGTCTCTGGAGCTTAGATGTGACACAACACTTTGGTTGACGTTGGTGTTATTTAAACTCTTCAAGCAGTTTCTCTCCTTTCAATTGTTGTCTGATAATGAATTTACTTTTTTGAAGATGAAGGATATGTAAATATTTTGGTTGATGGAAGTAAGGGTAAAATTTGTCATGTTTTCTGCCATGGCTTACAAATCTTATCAACTGAAGTCTCCTGTTGCAGAATGCATCATTAAGTGGATGTCATTGGGTGTTGCAATGAAATGCACTGAATACACTATGGGACCCTGCATGGTATTTGGTCCGCAGCCTGAATATAAAGTAGCTGCTATGGTTAAACAGGCATTGAGCAGAACAGTACACAAGGAAATTGATAATGCATTCTTCTTCATGGGCTTTTGTGGTGGATATTAATAATGGCTTTTAGATTTACTAAATAATTTTTAAACAAAATACTGGAGAGAATTTTATTTACAGTACTTCAGCTATAGGAATTAATTATAAATAATCAAAGACATTACCTGCTGCTGAGTTTGATGACAGTTTTCAGTGTTATTTCATGAATCGTGTTGAAAGCATATTTGTGTAAGCATGAGAGGTACCCTGGGGCTGTTTAGTATCTGTTGTCTGACTAATACCACTAATAGTATTTTCACTAAAAGAAAATAAAACTGCTCCTAACCACTATGTAGGGGAGATCAGTTAATTAACAATGAAGGTTGGTTGTGTTGGAGAGTTTTATAAATGTTATTTCCAAGGAGTACAAAACAGTGAGTTTCTTCAAGTTTGTTGTTTTGTGTTTGTGGTGGATTATTTTAGATAGTGACTTTAATACTTAGTTAACCCTTTTAGTGCAGTGGTTGGACTTTGTTGCTCTGAGCTTTGTGCCTCTGAAGTACAAAGATGGTATTATATTATATAGTATATTATAAAATCATGTTAAATCTATTTATCACTAACTTTCTATAACAGTTACTAAATTGTAAGCTGCCATGTCGCTTTGAATACAAGTGAATATAATATAAGGCTAACATTAATGGTCATAAAGATTAAAACAGCATTATATTTCCCCAGTCACTCTAATTTTATATAAATATCTGAACAAAACTAATTTTCCTCTGATGGATAAAAGACCTTTTCATTGTATGGGGAAAAGAAAGGGGTAAGCCATTCCTATAATGAATAACTTAGGAATTTCAGATGCACTCACAGAGTTAAGTCATTCATTGCTGCATGGGGTGAGCTTTCATATACATGATAGCAGTGCTTGCTTTTGTACTGCTTTAATATGATTGCTTGCTTTTTACTCCTTATACTTGCATTTTCATTCATCCTTTCCATTCATAGTTTTTTTGTTTTCACAAACACTGAATGTCACAGGTAACAATTAACACCAAAATTTTCATGAATAAGTATACATTTTTGTGTAATCAAAGGTAAAATTGAATATCCTTTGGTGATTTCTTATGTAAATCATATAATGTTGTGTATGTACAAAGCTTGATTCATATAATAGCTGCACCCTCTGTTTTGATTACTAAATTCTTCCAAATTAACCCATTCTAAAACATTTTACTTTTCCTAATGCTATCAATAATCAGTAGATAACCATTTTTATAGACATTTCGGTCATTATAGATTATAGTAAAAACAATAAAAGTAGTCATTGTAAGTGTTGCCATCACTCATGTTATTCTGAAAAATCTAGTATCATGGCCTCTGCCATGAACATTTCTATGAAAGTCACATTCCATGTATGCTTTTTCAGATTGTTCTCTATTAGAAAATGCTTGGGTAATAGCTGAGGGACTGATTAAACAGTAACTCAGTATGCTTGTTGCTTGCTTATTGTAGCAGTTATGTTTTGTTAATTTAAGTACAAGTATTTCAGTTGTCATATGTTTTCCTCTTCATTGTATAATCAAGTTGCAGATATATTGTACATCCTCATTGATTGATCTAAGTAGGGTAGTAGTTGTAAGTGGTGGCAAGAAAATATGTGAAATGATCAGATCGAATCAAAGAGGAATTTCTCATCCTGCTTTTTTACTAACAGCCAGTTAGGATATAGGCAGGCTAATTAATCAATGTATATAATGCTTTTGACTTCTGAATTTATCTGAAGATGAGGTATTATTCTTTTGCAGCAGATTCCAAATCTTATAAAAATCTAACAATATTTTAAGAGATTGGTGTTATAAGTGATTCAAACTGAAGAGAAAAGAAGAGATTTTTTTTGAGATTAAAAGGGTAACTGTCAGGCCATAACCCGAGTAGTGTACTTTGTATCGGTAGTAATTGCTGTTCCTGTTTCATTTAGTGTTTAATAAAATCAAGTGCCATCTAAGCAGGGGGAAAATATGCTCTCTTTTTTTGTGATGATTCCTTTGATTCAAGAGCTGTATCAGAATGCATAATTTTCTTGTCACCAAGTTTCAGTATTCAAACCTTTAGTTTGTATATAAAGTAATGATATAGGTTGTACAAGTAATTTGTTGTACTTATGTACTCCAGTCAAATAGATATGTGCACATGTAAATCTTTATGTACAGCATTCCTTAAATTAACTAGTTGCTTATAAAGTGAAAACAAATCATAAGCTGTATATCACTGCATAATTAAAAAAAAAACTTTAGCCCTACTCTGTATTTTACCTATTAACTATCCTGTATCTAACCAGTTTTATTAATTTCAGGAAATGGTTTCCTACGATGATATGAAAGCACAGCTGGCCGAAATGAATGCAGCAGCAGAGTAATAAACTAAATGGGGTGTCTTCTTCAGAAGAAAGTATTATATGAATGGCCAAAACACAAAAGAGGCTGTTACTTGCAAATCTAATTGGATTTCACTCTTGTTTAAGTTAGCAGCTTGAGTATAATGTAATTGTTTTTAGTATTTGCTTATACTTTTCATGTGCACAAAACCATAATTATCTATTGTGATTTTTGAGTGCACGTAGGTCAAAAGCACAAAATAGAGAAGAGTGAAATGCTTTAATTTTTTTTTTTCTTTTTCTTTTTTTTTTAGACTATGATCTACAACAACCAAAATTATTTAAGATTAGAACAGTAAAAAACAAAAACAGAACAACTAAAAAATGGTGCTTATGCTTTATGCTAAGTAGAAATTGGAGGATCTCTAAAAAGTTGAAATGCTAGTGCCTTAAGTGACGGGTCATGCAGTGTTTTTAAGTGGGCCTTGCTTAGTCCAGTACAGAAACACGGAAATCCTCATCAGTGAAATGTAGTTTATAGATTTTTTTTCATGATTTTCTAGGCTTTGGATAGCAGTTCAAGAATATTTTTATTATACATTTGAATAATTGTTATGAAGATATTTATCCCAGTTTTAGACTATTTGGGAGTTTCACAGTGAAGGTATCAATGAAAACATGCTTTAAAGGTTATGCTTAATAGTAGAGAATTAGGCTTCCAGTATGATAAACAGAGCATTTATGTAGAACGTACTTTTCAACAAATTAAATATTGATTTCTCAAAATCTTTTTTGATTTGTAAGAGCATTTATTTAGCAGACTTGGTGCTTTATCCCCAAAGCATTTAAGCTATAATTCTATTGCTGTATTCTCTTTCCTATTTTTCTGGGATTTACAACTTGGTACTTAATCTTCCTAGTCATCTGAGTATTGTCTCTTACTATAATTCTATTTCTATTATTTGCACAAAATAAAAGAATCAAAATCCATATTGATTTTCATTTCCATGGAAATGACAGGGAGGTTTTAACAAACAAATTTTTATATAGTTACTGTAGCTCTACAGTAAGCAAGGGCAGACAGTTGTCCTGAAGTTTCTAGCCCCTAAAATTGTAATTGAAAAACAAATCATCACTCTCCACAAATTGCTCATATCGCAAACTGAAACATTAGATTAATACAATCAAAGTTTAGATATGTGTCGTAGAAAAGCACTTGACTTATCCCTAATGACCAGAAATGACAATATGTAGTTCCTTGGAATGCTTGAATTACAGTAAAGGATCTGAAAGGGTAACAAGAACCTTCAATAATGTGAGGTAGATTCAAAGGCTTCAGAGCTTTTTAGATATTGGTGTAAGTGTATAATCTAAAGGATAGCTGGAGAGACCTTTAAAAGCTTATGCTTTGTTTTGCTGGTATGATGTTCCCATTATTAAATTCCTTTATTCTGTCCTCTCGATTTATTCATTTATTCTAAAACAAAATTACATCGCACATGAATGCCAAAGAAATGGATTCAAGAGCATCAGTAAGTCCTTTTAAATTCCTGTTTGAAAGACAAGGATACCTTTAACAACTTTGTTTAGAACTTACAATGCTACTATAATATTGGAGCAATTGATATAAAGGTAATTATTGCTGCCTCAAAGTGCTGATGACACCAGTGCAATCAATACATTTTAAGTGTAGATGATAATGACTGTCTTTGATGCCAGTAATTTGTTTTGACAAAGCAAAGAATTGTGTGTTTCATGTGTTCTATTCTTTGAAATAGCATACATTGGTGTACCTAATAAATTTCAGGAGGGAGGCTTATTTCTTTCATTCGTAGGCATAGGAAAAATCATTGTTGCCATGCCAAAGATTTAACTATTAAATTAAATTGCTTTCATCAGTAGATGTCATTTTATCAAAAGAAAGAATAAATTTGCTGAGAGAAAAAAATGATCGGGGAGTATGGGTGGCACCATTAAGGTCTATACACTTAACCCATTCACGCCGGGTGTCACGTATATGGGACGGGCCCACTGTGAGTTTACTTGTTTAATTGTTTTCACACATAGATGGCTGCACTTGTACTTGTACTGCCTAGCTCGCCTGTTTACCCTTTTCTTTAATTTACGAAAATATTATACGTTATCTTATTTTGCTGTTACCAACATTATAGTAATTATAATGTTTATAATAAAAATAACCATCGATATTCACTGTAATAATAAAAATACATTTTCCCGCCAAATGAAATCAGGTAAGGCAGAGCCATCTAGTGTAGAAAAATTTCACAAAAAGTATAAAAATTGAGCACGGCATTTTCCCCCATTTTTTGTTCATTTTTACCCGGCGCGAATGGGTTAAGTAAACTTTGAACACCTCTTCTGTGTGCAAATTTACAACGTGTGACACAGGCTTTTACTCATCTTCAATTTATTCCACACTTTTGCATTTGCATCATCATCATGTGTGTTTTCTTTAATTAAGTGGTACTTTAAGGAAATCTCCTGCTATAGTTGCCGGTAAAACAAGTAGAGTAAATACTGTAATAATATCATATCAATATGCAACGAAAAACAAATCCGCGGGTATCACAGCATACCGAATATTGAATTGAATATGCCTAGTGATTGGTGATTTTCCTCATTATTAGAGAGTATTCATTGCCCTTTTACTAAATACCAAGGGGAGCAACTGTTCAAAGCGTGGATAACGTATAACGAATAACGAATACTGCCAATACAGCCACGGTAAATTGGCCGGTTATAGTTCCATGGAAATTTGCCTGTGCTTTGTTTAGTGTTATAAATTTGGGATAAAACAATGTATTGCGCGAAATAAAAGCGGAAAAGATTAATATGGGAATACTACATGTGATTTCTTCGTTTCCTTTACTGATGAATAAAACAAGTGATGATGACATTTATTAGTAGTAAAATGTATATTTTGCCAATCCAAAACACAGGTCCTGAAAATGCGCGGTACGGAAGTACAAATGACGCCTATAATTTGACAGAAATTCGTCTTCTTCTCCGGAAAACGAAAGACAGCTGATGACGTATTCAGTAGTCTGTGAAACCATCGGGAATTTTTCAATATATAAAAATTTGAACAATTTTAAACAAGCCAATGTGCAGAATAAGTCAGTGGGAAATATTACACGTGAATTCCTTATTTCCTTTAGTATCAAATGATGACCTCGTTTCTCTTAATCGATGAAGGTAGCATGCTTCTGATATGAGAACTTACAAGAAACAAGGAAACATTAATTGCTTAACAGCCACAACGCAGGATATCTTTTTATTTTCCTTTGTTGCTATTTTGGCCCAAGCAAGGTATTAGGCAGAATAAAAAAGAAATGATGAAACTGAGATGACTGCACATGATTTTCTCGTTTCCTTTACCGTCAAATATAGCAAGCGATAATTGCATTTATTATCAGTGAAAGTATTATTTTGTGTTTTGAAAATTACCTCTCGTTAGCCTCTCATAAAA